ATTTGCAAGACATCTGACACAGATATCTATGCAAATCGCAACAAAAGTAGTGCATGCACTACTTTAGAAATTGGTGCGGCTCTGAATCAAGTCGGAACCGATATGACCGCTCTAATAGTGGACAATAGGGTGCAACTTGGCATACGATTTGCAAGTCGTCTGGCATGCAAATTGCGTTCCAAGTCGCATTCTATGTGACCAGGGTGTAAATCAAACACAGAATTGTACAAGACTTGCAGCATTCAAGCTAATCAGGATTTACTGGTATGCTGTTTAATTACAGAGGTTAATACAAATGCTGTTTTGTCTGTGCCAAAGTGCCTGCAGCAGTTATCTACTTTATCATTACAAAAGCAATAGTGCAGATGAATGGGTGTTCAGTTGGCAGAACACACCCATCCTTCCAGCTATTGCCACAACACTGTCTAAAACAAAAATTAAAAATAAAAACAATTCTATTCTATATACACACACACATATACACACACCACAACTAGCAGTCTAGGAGTTACTGTGTTTACTGAATAGCATTAGAAGCTTACCGAATATTTTCAATTGTTCAATAAAGGAGTCACTAGCCAGAAACAAATATGCGGATAAAGACTTTATTTTGAATTTAAATTGATACTAAGGCTAGGTGCACATATGTGTGGGTGGTGCCACTGCGGATCCGCCCGAAAATCCATGCAGCTGCACCACCCGTACAGAAGAATGCGGTCCTGCAGGGGTGCCATTAGTTCTTATGGCACGCTGCCCGCACTGGAAAACGCAACCATACTGGGAACTGAGGTTCCTGTGCGGACTGCGTTTTCAGAAGTACAGGGACTTCTTCCCTGCGTGTCACGGGACAAGGGAGTCCATTCAATGGGCTCTCGTGCCTGCGCAAAACGTGGCCCGCACAGCTGCATATATGTGTACCAGGGGTTAAGCTTCTTTTTTTCATTAAAATAACAAACATGTTATAGTTATCTTCTCTGTGTAATGGTTTTGCACAAAGCAGTCCCAATCCTCCTCTTTGCTGGGTCCCCTGCCAGAAGTACCACATTAGATCTTACTTCTCTTGGGCCTTCTTATGGAAGGGGGCAGACCTGGGTGATTAATATTCTGAAAGTTCAGAGCACTGCGTTCAGTCTTTCCCCAGTCTTCTAGGTTGAATGATGCTGGGTGTCATTCAGCATTGAAGACTGAGTACTTTTTTGGAGTTTATACTGTGTATATCAAATTTAGCTCAGGGTTTGGGTTTAAGTGAAGGCTAGTTTATGCTATAACAGTAGTTGACTGACTGTGTTTACTTCTGATTGTTTATTTCAGGTACTTTTTATAGTGCCGTCAATTTACGCAGTGCTTTACATAGATATATTGTACATTCATATCAGTCCCTAACCCTCAAGGGGAGTACAATCTAAGGTCCCTAACTCACATTCATACATACATACATGTACTAGAGCCAAATTAGACAGGAGCCAATTAACCTACCAATATGTCTTTGGAGTGTAGGAGGAAACCAGAGTACCCAGAGGAAACCCATGCAGGCACAGGGAGAACATGCAAACTCCAGGAAGGTGGTGCCGTGGTTGGGATTCAATCCAACGACCCTAGTACTGCCAGGCAGAAGTGCTAACCATTTAGCCACTGTACTGTCCTCTTCACTAACCAGTTGCTCTTGCATGGACCTTGGATCCCACCATAAAAAGCATGTACCATCCTAGAGGTTGATAGAAACATGTTCCTTGTGAGATGCAGCAAAAATATCAGATTGATTGATTGACTTTGGCTTAGCTTGACTTTTATTTACTCAGCATTGTTCTTTTCCACTCTAGGTGGAGATTTGTTGTATCAGCAAGTTCCAATGGTGGAAATGGATGGTTTTAAAACTAGTACAATCAAAAGCCATCCTGAGCTACATAGCTGGAAAATACAACCTATATGGAAAGGACCTAAAAGAGAGACTATTGTAAGTATTCAATGAAAAAAGAGTACTTCTATAAATGTAAACAAAGCTAAAAAGTATGGATCAAATTTAAGAAAGTGGTGCAATGAATGTAAATGTTTTTACAACCTTAAGTAACCAGTACAACTGTATCATATTATACTAGGATGTCAAAGCCTGCTACACACAGGTTTTTTTTTTCATTTTATAAGTTTAAGGCTGAATGCACCCCCTGAAGCATAAAAACGCATGTCAACGGGAATCACCATACATCATTTTGTGCTTTTAACACACGCTGCAATACACGATGATGTATTAAATGTAAACGTGTATCATAACGCACAGCACACATTCGCATGCATCATGACGTGTCTTAATGCATGCATTAACATGTTTCTATTGATTTCCATGGAAAATTTGTCAAGCAAAAATGCATAGATTAATCCAGCCACAGCACAATTTCTGCATTCCAGATGCGATTCTGAATGTGTGTTTTTACATGCATTTGATGCATGTGTTTTTTTTCCCCTCCTTTTTTTTTTTTCCTTCATTTCAGTTCCAGATATGTGCTTTTTACATGCAGTGTGTTTTCTACTTTTGTTGACTGCAGTGGAACGCTTCGCACTGGTGTGAACTAGGGCCTTTGGAATACATGGAAAACACTGTGCATGTATTTTTTATACAGTATAAAAATGCATTGGACTACATCTGGTGTGAACTAGCTGTAAAGGGGACTGAATAAGTGTAAGCATATTTTCCTTTTAAAGTGGTTCTGAAGACATTAGTGGTTATAGAGGCATATTTTCTGGTATCAGTTCCCCCTCTCCAAATACTTACCTGGCTCCTCTTTCGATTCAGTGCTGTGCCCAGAAGCAGCATCGCAGCTCTCTTTTCTCACAGGAACAGAGGCAGCAGCAGGAGCCCCTGGGTTTGGCTGCTGTCAATCGAATCCTGTGAGCAGAGAGCGGGGTTCTGGGCTGAGCCACGCTGTGTATCAGTAGATGCACACAGCTCCACTCAGAAGCAGGTCTGCATGTGTGCTCCCATAGCAAGTGGCTTGCTATGGGGTGCATAAAGAAGAAGAGGAGCCAGGAGTGCTGGCGGGTGGGCCCAGAAAAGGTTTAGTGCAGGTAAGTATACCCTGTTTATTATTTTAGAGGAAAAAAATATGAGCCTTTATAATCACTTAAAGCTGAACTCAAGGTTTGACCTTCTTTCCAACAAATGCCAATCTTCTCCCCCATACCATACAATCAAAATGCGCAAGCATTTTTAAACATCTGTACTGCTACCCTTGCAGAAGCGGCTTGGTAGATTGGGTTCTCTGTTCTTCTTCTGCCATGACTCAGAACAACCTCAGCCCCATTGACACACCAGGTTGAGCAAATAGATACTGCACTGTTTCTGTTAGCACAAGTATAGACACCCTGCACACAATTAATGTTTGGTATCATTTTACCCCTGTACAAATCATTACACCTCATCTGGAATATGCAGTTAAATTTTGCGCACCAATTCACAAAGAACATTTGGGGAACTGGAGAAAGTACAGAGAAGGGCAACTAAACTAATAAGAGGCATGAAGGAGCTCAGCTATGAGGAAAGATTAGAGGAACTGAATTTATTCTCTCTTGAGAAGAGGAGATTAAGGGGGGATATGATCAACATGTATAAATACATCAGTGCTTCATATAGTGAACTCGGTGTAGAGCTATTCACTCTGAGGTAATCACAGAGGACAAGGGGGCACTCTTTATGTCTTGTGGAAAAAAAAAAAAAATCTCCAAACATGGAAAGGTTTCTTCACAGTAAGAGCTGTAAAAATGTGGAATAGACTCCCTCAAGAGTTGGTTCTGGCCAGCTCAGTGGATTGCTTTAAAAAAGGCCTGGATTCCTTCTTGGATACACAGAATATAACTGGTTACTAACATTTATAGGTAATGTTGATCCAGGGAATATCCGATTGCCTCTCTAGGGATCAGGAAGTATTTTTTTCCCCTTCAGGAGCAAATTTGATTATGCTTTGCTGGTTTTTCTTGCCTTCCTCCTCTGGATCAACTGTGGGTATAGAATTATAACTTTTTTTTTTTTCTATGGTTGAACTGGATGGACTTTTTGTCTTTTTTCAGTCAGACTAACTATGTATTAAAAAGAAAACATCAGACTGGTTAGTAGTAAATGAACCCAATATATTGTCACAGGTTGCAGTAAATATCAGTATACACATAAATAAGTACAGGATTCAGTCACAGTTCACTAGAGAATATGTTCACTAGACTATAGCAGCATAAAGTGGAGTTCTATGCATTTAAATTAGATGCTGGCAATTCACAAAATCAGCAATAAGTAATGGCATTAGAAAACAGTAACATCAATGATATTCAATATTGCAATAACGCCTCTGTAAACAATAGGCTATAACCACTTTAGAGTGCACTCTACAGGTGAAACTCAAAAAATTAGAATATCGTGCAAAAGTTCATTTATTTCAGTAACGCAACTTAAAAGGTGAAACTAATATATGAAATAGACTCATTACATGCAAAGCAAGATAGTTCAAGCTGTGATTTGTCATAATTGTGATGATTATATGACTTACAGCTCATTAAAACCCCAAATCCACAATCTCAGAAAATTAGAATATTGTGAAAAAGTTCAATATTCTAGGCTCAAAGTGTCCCACTCTAATCAGCTAATTAAGCCATAACACCTGCAAAGGGTTCCTGAACCTTTAAATGGTCTCTCAGTCTGGTTCAGTAGAAATCCCAATCATGGGAAAGACTGCTGACCTGACAGTTGTGCAGAAAACCATCATTGACACCCTCCATAAGTGCTGTATCAAAGCATATTAATAGAAAGTTATTTGGAAGGGAAAAGTGTGGAAGAAAAAGATGCACAAGCAGCAGGGATGACCGCAGCCTGAGAGAGGATTGTCAGGAAAAGGCCATTCAAAAGTGTTGGGGACTTTCACAAGGAGTGGACTGAGGCTGGAGTCAGTGCATCAAGAGCCACCACACACAGACGGATTCTGGACATGGGCTTCAAATGTCGCATTCCTCTTGTCAAGTTGCTCCTGAACAACAAACAACATCAGAAACGTCTTACCTGGGCTAAAGAAAAACAGACCTGGTCTGTTGCTCAGTGGTCCAAAGTCCTCTTTTCTGATGAGATCAACTTTTGCATCTCATTTGGAAACCAAGGACCCAGAGTATGGAGGAAGAATGGAGAGGCACACACTGCAAGATGCTTGAAGTCCAGTGTGAAATTCCACAGTCTGTGTTGATTTGGGGAGCCATGTCATCTGCTGGTGTTGGTCCACTGTGCTTCATTAAGTCCAGGGTCAACGCAGCCGTCTACCAAGAGATTTTGGAGCACTTCATGCTTCCTTCCACAGACGAGCTTTATGGGGATGCTGACTTCATTTTCCAGCAGGACTTGGCACCTGCCCACACTGCCAAAAGCACCAAACCCTGGTTCAATGACCATGGGATTACTGTGCTTGATTGGCCAGCAAACTCGCCTGACCTGAACCCCATAGAGAATCTATGGGGCATTGCCAAGAGAAAGATGAGAGACATGAGACCGAACAATGCAGAAGAGCTGAAGGCTGCTATTGAAGCATCCTGGTCTTCCATAACACCTCAGCAGTCCCACAGGCTGATAGCTTCCATGCCACGCTGCATTGAGGCAGTAATTGCTGCAAAAGGGGCCCAAACCAAGTACTGAGTACATATGCATGCTTATACTTTTCAGAGGTCTGATATTGTTCTATGTACAATCCTTGTTTTATTGATTGCATGTACTATTCTAATTTTCTGAGTTTGTGGATTTGGGGTTTTCATGAGCTGTAAGCCATAATCATCACAATTATGACAAATCACGGCTTGAACTATCTTGCTTTGCATGTAATGAGTCTATCTCATATATTAGTTTCACCTTTTAAGTTGCATTATTGACATAAATTAACTTTTGCACGATATTCTAATTTTTCGAGTTTCACCTGTATATGAATGGCAGTGATAACATTTAAAACTCCCTAAAGAGATACCTCTTACTATGGACAATAGGCATAGTTTTTGTGAAGCTGCTATCTGAGTGAGCAGCTGTCTAGCCCTAGCTCTTCAGCCAGCAAACAATGGGGCCCATTCTTCATGGTGTCACACATCAGTGCCCACAAGTGCAGCCTATCAGTGCCCATCTGTGTAGCCTCATCAGTGCACATCAGTGAAGGAGAAAAATTACTTATTTTCAAAATTTTATAACAGAAATTTAGAAAAACTTCTTTTGTTTTTTTGTTTCAAAATTTGTGAGCTTTTTATATTTGTTTAGCAAAAAAAAGAAAACAGTGCTGATCAAATACCACAAAAAGAAAGCTCTATCTGTCTCAAAAAATGGTAAAAAATTTCATATGGGTACAGTATTGCATGACCATGCAATTGTTATTCAAAGTGTGACAGCACTGAAAGCTAAAATTTGGCCTCGGCGGGAAGGGGGTAAAAGTGCCCAGTAGGCAAGTGGTTAAGAGGTACATGTTCAGAAATGTCTAAAACTCGGTAAACATGTTTTTAATGAGAAATATTACTGTGTCATATTTTTTATGACTTGAGGGTATGTCTATAATTGATAAGGGGAATTTTCCTGAAACATTGAGAATATGGCAATTCTGCATAGTCATGGAGTAGGGCATGCTCTTGGCATGGACATTCAAGTGACTAATTAAATATTGCTCTGGGGTTGGATGGAAATTGTTTATGTAACTGATACTACTATTATTATTATTATTGCCAAGGGTGTGCAATTGTGTTTTTTTTTTTTTTTTTTTTTTTTTTAATTGCAGTGTATCCACTTATGGACTGCCCCATGCACTTTTACAGTGGCAGGTCAGCCACTCTGCACTGAATCGCATACATGTATATGATCCAGCATTTCTGGGTAGGGGGTGCACGAACACATGCCTGCCCTTCCATCTGTGCTGTCATTCGGTACAGCACAAGTCGGTCAGCAGGTTCCGGCCAATGATTTATGGCTTGGCACTATTGATTGGTTTAGGTAATGACACTACAGAGCCCTGTGTTTACTAACTACACAGGGCTCTGTGCACAAAGCAGCGATGTGGATAGTTCGCCTTCCTGCAAAGCAGGGAGAAAAAATACCCACATTTCTTTGAAAGAGCAGAACACATTACACATTGTTAACCCTTCTGATTGCCTCTAGATGTTAACCCCTTCCCAGCCCATGTCATTAGTACAGTGACCGTGCATAGTATTATTACTGGTCACTGTTTTAGTGTCACTCAGTTCCCACCCAGTGTAAGAATGCCTGTCGCACTATCATAGTCCCACTATAAGTTGCTGATCACCGCCATTACTAGTATTAAATAAATAAATAAATAAAAATATGTACCATCATTTGTAGATGCTATAACTTTTACACAATTCAATCAATATACACTTATTGGGATTTTTTTTTTTTTTTTTTTACCAAAGATGTGGCAGAATACATGTTGGTCTAAATTTTATGAAGAAATGTTATTTGTTTATTTTATTAGATATGTTTTATCGCAGAAAGTAAAACATTTTCGGTCTTTTTTTTTTCATTTCTATCATAACATTTAAAAAATACAGCGATCAAATTCCACCAAATGAAAGCTCTAGTTGTGTGAAAAAAATAATTTCTCAGTCTGTTACTTGTTTGCTTGGGAAGAATCCCTGCTAATATATCTGAACTTCTCATTCTGTAAAGGCTAGTTTCTCCCTCACGTTGTCATATTGACTTTTTGCCTTTAATAGACTCTTAGGCTGCATTCACAATTGAACGACTTGCAAGCTTGAAGCGCCAAAAACACTCAACGTAAAAAAATCAGTTGTTCTCTACTAAGCCTGTTACATGCAAATCAATCAGGAGTGAATAGGGTACCATAGAGAACAATTGATTTCTTAAGTTTGAGCATTTTTAGAGCTCCGTGCTTTGAGTTCAAGCTACAATCCGCTCACGTGTGAATTCAGCCGTATGCCCACCTTGCCTGTGCTCCCTTGCTGCTCCCTTCCTCTGTCATTGTCAGCAACCAGGGGAAGTGGTGGTGTAACTCCCTTGGTCACATGATAGTGATTCAGCCCAGCAAATGGCTACTAAAAAAAAAAGCACTATCAGAGCCAGAGGGAAGGAGGTTGCATGCTCTCCCCCTTACTTGGAAGCACCAGATGAGAGCATCTGGCAACAAAGAATAGCAGCTATTGGTAAGTATAAAGGGGTCAGCAGGGGTCATTTTTCAGAAGACACTGTCACTTTTCCCTTCATATGCAAAGCAACAGTGCCTATGATTCAGTATTGTGCAAGTCTGTACTTAGAGAGGGGTCCATTGGTGTAAGAATAATTACTGTGCCTTTTCTTATGTTCCAGCATTGATATGTACACTGAAGGAATACACAGACCTCATGGGGATTGATTATACCATCATTCTTTATGGCTGAAGTTGAACAGAAGAAACAAAGGGATCTTGTTAAACAAAGATCTTTATGAACAGATATTTTCCAGTTTATGAAAAGGTCTGATATTTTTTTTCTTTTAAAACAATGGTTTACATTAAAGATACGTAGACGTGGAGGTTTACCCTGTCCATAATGTATATGAATCAAAATAAAAACCTGTCCTCATCACTACACACACTGCCTATACCCTCTAAAACTGTTAAATGCTCCCATCTGTTAACATTACAACCGAACACAGCACTTCATGAATATGTCATTAAATTTCTGCAACATATACATTTTTAACAAATCATATGTGGTTTTAAATTTTTTTTTCCACCCATTTAGTAGGGGAGTTACTGCATTCTTAGGCCAGTTTTGGCATCTTGTCGAAATGTATGTTATAGTATAACTAACGGCAAACCTTTTTAGTTTTGTGCAGTACATTGAGACGGGATTAGAACACCTATTGTGTTTTTATTTGCTGTCTGTGATCCCAGTTAGATTTACCCTCTCTTTTATAAAGAGAGCCCCAAATTTGAGTTGTCTCCCATAAAAGTAATAGAGGGGACAATTTTCCAATACACCAATAAGGACTCCACACTATGAGACAGCCCCAGGGAAATTGTTGACATGGTTGTGTGTTGATTTTTTTTCCTGTGAATATCATGCTGATATTCTCATTGAATTCTCCTAATTTTGCGGGAAATATCCTCACTACCTGTTTTGGCTGTGAGACCAGTCAGTCAAGGGAAATTCACCCCAATGGCACACAGATATTATTTTTTTTTTTATTTTTTTTATTTTGTTTTTTAAAAAAAAATAAACTTGACAGGGGATATAACCTTCCCATTACTCTATCCAAAATGGGAAAAAAAAGCTTTCCCTTATAGTTCTACTATAAATTTGTCTTTTGTGCGTTGATTTTTTTTTTCCTGTGAATATTTTTTTTGGCATGCTGATATTCCCCATTCACATAATGCAGAAGATATTGTTTGAGATAATCACCCATCTAATGTTAGGGCCATATTTTTTTATTTTTTTTTTACAATTATTTGGGATTTTTTTGCCAACATTTTCACCTTCAACTTGATATTGTGTTGCTTTTTTTGTTTTATACTTATTTTTTAATTTTTTTTGGCTTGATTTTATATATATTTTTTCTATTTATTACTTATAATTATTTTTTTTGGCCAAGATATTGTGTTGCTTTTGGAATGCTTGGCTGTGTGTCCTTGCTAGGGATGCTCCCTTTATTTCCTGTTTTTTTCATGGATTTCAGACAGAACAGAGAGCATGGGGAAAATCTCCAAAATCATGACTAAACCAAAGCTATTAGTAGAGAAGGATAAGAACCTTTTGTGAGGTGTGGGATTTTTTTTGCGATCCCACTTTTTGTTTGGGAAAACTTTTAAAGTCATGACCAAAACACTAAAACAATGCTATTAGTACAAGAGGATAAGAAAATGCTTTAAAGTGTGGATTTTTTTTGTTTAGGTGATGATGTAGGGTTAGAGGGAAAATCTCAGCAGTCTCATAAAACCTGAGCCTGACATAAAGTAAATACATTTGTTTGTAAGGTCCCCATCCTGGAGAGTGGGAGACTTTAATGTCATGCCCTAGAAGGCCTTATGTAAAATAACATGGTAAGTAATTACACATAGATTTCAATACACAGTTGTGTTCTCTGAGAACTTCTGGACTACACAATCAGCTCATGCCCCAAGCTACATCCAGCAATGCCCATTGGACTCTATGATCAGTGGCATCTGACACAAGCCCAGTCTCTGAAGACACAGAACAGTTTTTACCCATTGGTTTCCCTTCATTTTTTCCTCTTCCCTTCTTTTCCAAATGTGAAAGGCAAATTGTCCTCTTTGGTAACTACTTCTCTTTGGCTGCCAAAACACCTTGATTCTTGTTCAGCTTTTATCCCCCAACTAGCTCTCATTTCTCACAGCATAAACTCTATATTGGTACAGCTGGATATGATGAATGCACACACTTTGAAATTTCAACGTAGTACACAGCATCTTTGGGTCATATACCCAGCTGCAAAACAAAAAAATTTAAATTGGAACTAAACCCTCCTATCTTTTACAGTCAAGGAAATTGCCATCTTAGCCTCTGTTTGATCTGCATTGCCATGGTGCTGCACATGTGATCAGCTATGACACCAGCCATTTGTTGGCTTGACAGTCCAGTTGCGAGCATAAGCAAATGTGACAATTATCCTTCACGCCATGCTTTGAACGTAACTGTTTTGAGAAACCGTTAAATCCATGGGTTTAGCTCCACTTCAAGATAACTTACTTGGTTGATTGATCTCTGATCATGTAGCAGTCCTTTCCAAAAACAGTCTCTTAGGCATCCTCATAGGAATTTCTGTACACAGACCCTGCCCTGGGTTCACCTTCTTTAGAACAGGGAAAAACTGCTGACCTCATGGCAGGTCAGGGGATATACAGCGCACAGAGAACAATGTTATTTTAATGACTGCCTTCAACACCTAAACTGGTGCCCCTTTTTTTCCATGATTGCAAGGTGTCTTCTAATAATAGAACAGGAACTTGGTTGCTATACGATCAGAGGATATGTGCCAAGGTTTGTAAGCACTCCTTACATAGCAATCTCTGTGGTTACATTTTACATTTTTTTTTGTGTAGCTAATCTGTTTTGCTTGTTTAGGCTTTGGAAAACCAGGAATATTTAGTTGGAAGACAATTTAGTATAGCTGATGTGCAGCTCCTGGAAGTCAGTTTAGCAGTCGAAGAGCTACATGCTGATATCCTGCAGAACTTCCCTAATTTACAGGTAAACAAATTACATACTTTATGTCTAAGTTGTGCCATTTTTATTCAAAGTACAGGTGTACCTTTTTATGAAAAGCTCTGTAAATTCTCCCTCCTCCCCACTTAGCTATTTATAAAAGAATTCAAACCTCATACTCAGTACTGTCCTCTACACTGCCCAGCTCTCTGCTTCACCAGGCACTCTTTACTTTCCTCCAGCATCTGTGCCCCAGTACTTAGGTATGACTATAGGCTCTAGAGAGAGGAATAAAAGTGTCCAACTTGGCTCTTCTGTTCATCTTTATAGAACATGTAGTCATACCTGCACACTGCAGCACAGTAGCTTGGAGAAAATTGAATATAAAAACTACCTATAGAAGGCAATATACAGTGGGACCCCCACTGCATCTGAGGTCTAATTTTAACTATAAGGGAGAATGGGGAATTATAGTGGGACACATCGTGCTGAATCATTTTGCAATGGATTGATCGAAAATGTTCAGCTGACAGGAAACCTGCATTTTGCCAATAACACCATTCCATAATGGTGGTTTTCCATTATTTGTTCTATATATAATACATGAACATCACAGATAAATCTCAGCTATGCACTATGTTTCCAGTGGTCTTCAAAGAATTTCAGGATATTAACCTTTGCGTTTTTACAAGACTTATATCTTCTTTATGTCATAAACATGTTATATTGAAACATTTTATTTATTTGAGGGATGGGTTTTAATATACTGTTGTATTTGCTTCTTCCATAGGCTTTCAAAGCAAGAATATCTTCAATCCCAACAATTGAGAAATTTTTGGCACCAGGAAGTAAAAGAAAGCCTATTGCTGATGCAACATATGTAAACACTGTAAAGAAAATTCTTTTCATCTGATGTGAACAAGAAATATCAACACCTGTGTTTAAAAAAAATGCAATGATCAATATGCATATTTTTGAACTTATACTAAAGTGTGCAGTTCATATTTGTTGCAGCTTATATTTCAGAGTTTTTCATTAAAGACTGTATGGAAATTCTATCTAATTTTTTTTTTTTTTTTTTTTGTAAAGAAGCTGTTCCTAGTTGGGTGCATGTATGGGGTGTGGAGCTGAGAAGGGTTGGGAGTGCAAAAAAAGGGGGGAATGAAGAAAGGGGGAATAAACAACACGGGCAGTGGTCAAGTCCTTGCTTAGAGACCCAGGAGGCTGTAATTAGTTCCATTTGGAAGACAGTATACCAAGGGTACCAGATTGCCATATACTTTTCCATTGTGTCATTTAGTCTTACCTCAGTGTTTTTAAATGCAGCATAACCTGCATAACTCTAGCCTGTACCCCCGCTTCAGCTAATGTTTGTGTAGTTGCGGTGAGAACATGTACTAATAAATTAAGTCTTAAATAGACCTGGAGGTTTAACAGTGAAGCACCACTCTGGGTGTCTGGGGCATTGATTGACTCATAAGCTTAGTAAGGAGTGATAAGATGTTAGTCCAGAATAGTTGGACCACTGGACAAGACCACCGCTATATTGAAGAGGGAGCTTTATGCAACATGCTTGTCAACATTAGGGAGTTCATTGGCATAGTGTAAATTGACTCTCCTTTGTCTTGCCATTCCCCTTTGTGCATGAACAAGACTGTTTTGAAAGTTTTTGTGTTCAGATAGAATGTGCACTCTATACCAACTGGATCATTCCTGAAAGGGTTTTTTTACGCATACAAAACTATGCTGAACTCTATCCAGTCATAAAAGAGTGCACAAAATGGGCTCTTCCTGTGGTTGACCCTGTCATTGCAGTCTAAAACAAACATCTCACAGTACCTATTGAAGATGTTCCATCTTTTAAAGATTCTGACAAATAAATTCAGGTGCTCTTAAAAGCTCTTTTTAACCTAGTGAGACCAGCCCTGCAACCAGCTCTTACTGCAATTTCTGTATGTTAAACTGCAGCTAACTGGACTAGGACAATTAATAACCAACATGACTATGTATTTTGGGGTTGTGCTATTGCAGATCAATTACAACAACTGCCTTCTGCTTTTCTTTTCTGTGTAGATGCCTTGCAACACATCATTAGACAAATATCCATAATGGCTCTAACCTTCATTCATATGCCCGGAGTCTTTTGGCTAAAGGCTTGGACAGCAGCAGCTGCCTGTAAAAGGCAACTCACACATAGAATTTCAAGGAAGACATTTGTTTTTGCTAATGCACTTGAACCAATTCATAAAAGAGGAAAATTTTACTTCCTCAAAGGAAAGTGACAAAACCCCCTTCATCAGGAGCCCCTAACTGCTCTAAATGCAGAGCACCTCCACACTCAAACTAGGCTTCAAATTCAAAACCTTTTGGCACAATGAAGGGGCACCCTCATTCTTAATAGTGGGGGGACGCTTGTTGAAGTTTGTATCTCTCTGGGTCACAGACGTCCCAGACCTGTGGATTCAATTGGTGGTTTAAAAACTCTACCTCATCACCACTTTCTTTTTTCAGATCAACCAAAAACTGTCTCAAGGCAGTCAGATTTGCCAAAGGCCCTGAACCACTTGTACCAGGGAGTCCTTGTACCATTACCACCATAGGACAAGATCAAAGGATTCTATTGAAACCAGCTGATAATACCATAATACCGAAGCCCAATGGAGGTTTCCTCCTATCCTCAACAAAATTCTTTTAAATTCAAGGTCAGCAATTGCCTCTCTGAGACAATGGCACATGGCATCCATGGACATCCTAGATGCTATTTGCATGTTATTTATTCACCTCACCTGCAGTTTCTATACTTTGCAGTTGCAGATGGCCACTTCCAGTTAGTTGCACTGCCTTTTGGCCTATGCTGTACTCCCATGGCGTTCACAAAGGTCTTAGCACCCTTGCTTGCCCTTACGCCCTACTCCTGAAGGATTCGCCCTTGCAACTCTCAGCAAATGTCCAAAAGACAATTCAGCTACTTCAGGCTTTTGACTGTGTGATTAGCTTCACCAAATCTGTTCTTCAGCCTGTGCCTAGAATACTTGGGTCTGATCCTGGATACATCCCGGGCAAACGTCTTTCTTCCAGAAAGACTTGACAACTGACATCCAAAAGGAATCCCACAATGACTCACTATGAGAATTCTGGGATTAATGGCTGTCTCCTTTGAAGCAGTTCCTTTTTTCTCTCCAACATAACATTCTGTAAGCACGGGAAAAGCAGGCTTTTTCCTCAACTTGTCCATGCTCCTATCCAGCCAAACAAGAATTTCCTTGTCCGGATGGATCACCACTTCATTTCTAACAGTGGGAAAATGTTTCCTTTCTTATAACTGGAAAGTTCTTACTACAAATGAAAATCTGTCAAGCTGGGCAGGATTCTTCAGTCCTTGAAAGTTCATACAACATGATCAAGAAAGAGAAAACCAAACTCCCAATCAATATCTTGGAACTCAGGGCAGTCAGGTTTTCCCTCCTCCACTGGACTCCAGTTCAAACTAATTTATGTCTTCCCTCCACTGTAGATTACAAAACACAGCAAGTGAGGAAACCAGTGATTCTACACAGATAGACATACTTAGACTTCTGGCAGACAAACCCTGGCCTCTTCCTAACAGACCAGATCTCCTGTCTCAAGGCTCTTTTCCTCCATGCTCCAGTCTCTGGCTTTCACAGTATGGCTGCTAAAGGATAGAGGGATAGAGTGTAAAAGGCCACTTCCAAGAAGATTTATTATCATCCATGGATGATACCCTGCCAGGGATTCTTTGCCTGGTGTAAGTACAGTCAATTCAGTCCCAGGGATTACCCCCTGCCTCCCATTATGGCCTATCTGAAAACAGGTTTTGACCAGAATCTAGCTCTTAGCACCCTGAAAGGGCATGCATCTGCCTCATCCATCCTTTTCACTCCCTGGTGAAAACCTTTATCCAAAGTGTTCCTCGTAATAGGCCCCCCAATGCAGCACCTTGTGCTTCCCTGAAATTTTAATTTGGTTCTTTCTGCCCTGCATAAACAACCCTTGAAACCCATCAGGGATAATCCTTTACAGATTCTTGCCAGCAGAGTGCCGGTTTTGAAAGCCATCACATCTTTCTGACATGTCTCTGAACTAGAGGCCCTTTCCTGTGAAGAGCCTTTCCTCATACGTCACAATGATAATGTGTTATGCCCAAGACCATCCTTTCTTCTATAGGAGGTTTGAACATTTCAACTCCGGGAGGAAATTTTTCTCTCATCTTTGTGCCCTGCTCCTAACCATCCAAAGGAAGTCTCTCTACATTGCCTGGGCATAGTCAGAGCCATTAGATTGTGCCTAACAGCTACTGCTTCCATTAAATCGATTCCCTGGTTGTTCTTTCCTCGGGATCTCACAAGGCGCACCCTGATTCTGAATCCACCATGGCACAATGGGTCAGGTACCTGATTACAAGAGCTTATGCTTTGGAACAAAAACTTCCTCCTGCGCTGTTATGCACCCATTCCACCAGATCTGTAGAAGTATCCTGAGCCTTTAGGCACCAATCCTCTATTGCCCAGCTGTGAAAGGTTGCCGCCTAGGCTTCTGTTCATACTTTCTCAGATTTACTTTTTCAAGTGTTATCAGGTTGATGTCCAATCTTCTGTGGATGCAGTTTACAGCTGCAATGAACTCTGCAGGTTTTCAACCCCTGTTGTTTAAACCAGTTGGCACAGTTCTGTTTGCCTAGCTGTTGCCCACCCTATGTATTTAATTCTTGGAGATGTTCCATGGTGCATGAATAAGATGGCTGTGTCTTGTACTGTACGACTAACATATTAGAACTTTTAACTTGCTTGTAAATTCCATATCTTGGAGTACAGTAAAGGACACAGGACACCCTCCCTAAACTCCCCTTGTTACTCTGTATTGCTTGACACCTGTCTTCGCTCCTCGCCCCTCTACATCTCTCTCTCTCGTGACTCCAAGCTAGATCCCTAGGTATTCTGTGCCATGAGGTCAGCCCCGGTATGTGGGGAGCCTGTTGTTAGTGAAGGGGCCAAGCATAACACTCCTTCACCACCAGAGTATCCATCACCCCTGCCACGTCACCGATTTCCTGGCTGGCTGGCTGCTTTGGCAAGTGACACAAATACCAACTAAAAAAGAGAAAAGACAGATGGAGCTCCAGCCTAGTGCATTATCCCAGGGCTACTTTATTTGTAAATGATAAAATCATACTCCCAAACAAAGAAAATCCAGCATGTAGGCCCACCAACTCATGACACAATGGGTAGTAGGACACAGAGAGAACCAAACCAGATGGATGCTATCCAGGGTCTGAAAATGGCTTACCCGTTTCAAGGTTACCCCCCTCTTCATCAGAGCCAAAACTGCAGAAGGTGTTTTTTCTTTGAGTGACATAAATACAGCAGTCCTTGGCAATGGCAATATAACCTCCTCAGAATAGATTCTGCTCATTGGACTTCTGCACTATATATTCTCTAACCTTCTCAGTCCCCTGAAGTAAGCCATATTTTTTTGATATGCTTTACATGCATCCCTTCAGACCAGGAATTTTGGATGAACAGCAAAGATCTTTTATTGAGGGAGATCAAGGTAACAAGCAAACAGTTCTCAAAGACATTTTCCACACACTTTCTTGAACAAAGTTCTCTAGTGCTTCTGAATATCTCCCCATGAGGTACTCATACCTTAGGCAACTGGAAAAGTCCATAAAGAGTCCATAATAGGCAGCAAATCATCATGATGTAGCAATAAGGGTTCCAGCACAAGGTAGCAAAAGTTCATATAAGTCCACAGGCTCCAAACCCCACTGGGAACCCTGACTGGGCTCCACCCCAGGGGTTTTCAGACTGACGGCATAACTGCTACATCTTGGCAGTCTTTTCCTTAGCCAACTTCAGGCAAACTCTCCCAAGGACACTAATGAGCCCCTATTTT